ACCCAATCTGCACCCGCTATGCTGACTTTTTCGCAGTGCCATTGCTGACTTCTATCAATGCTGCTCTTCCATCATACCTATTTGACACTAGAATAGGAAGGTCCTAACTCTTTTCCATTACTCCTGCACATCACTTTCAGCATTTTGAACTCCCATACTCTACTCTAGGTGCTTTTAGTCCGTGGTGCACTACTTTCATTGGCTACAGCTGTGTGCGAGTCCGCATGGTATAACTGTCCCCGGAGGCTTCTGGCGCTGTGACAGTATAACGATTCGTTAAGGCCGCTTTCTCCTACACGCCCCAAAACCGACCTCAGTCTTTTAGAAGTTGAAAAGGAGCAACACGAATGCCGCCTTTACATTTGCTGCCATCTCATGCTGCTCCGTTGCCCGTAAGCTTTTCTTCAATCCCTCCACGCTGCGGTGCCCAGAGCACTGCAACGGACAGTCATAAAAATACGCCATGACAAGCCTGTTGCTCCTCTGAGTGTCTCATATGCATATGCAGGGGAGCTAGACTCCGCACGCGCATGCAGAAAAGACAGCACCCTCTGTTGTCACACAAGAGGCACACCCCTACACGTGCTCAGGCAGTTGAGGAAATGCCGAACTCCCCTCAAAAACCCACTGGGTAGCTTGTTTGTTCAAGGCCGATAGAGAGCGCCACAGCAACGCGAGAAGCAATTCTATCTGTATATTCGTCACATTTGAACGGGCACTGCTGGAGCAGCCAGAGCAAAGAAGGCCGCAGGCACAGTTTTGATAAGCCACCCGCCTATGTGATTCTGGACTAGTTGCATAGCAGCGCACTCCATTCCATCCTAAAAACACAATCATAAACTGCGCCTTTGGTAATGTTAGAAGCAGCAGCAGCAGCTCTTAGGGTGCGTGCGCAGAACGCTGCCACAGCTCCAGTAGCTGCTGCTGCCGGAGCTGCTGCTGCAAATGCCACTGCGGCCTCAGCCACAAAAAGCGAAGGGTGTTTGAATACAAATTAATTTATTAGCGACTTGATTAGAGAAGAGGCATCGCTCTGGGGAATACAGTGGCAGGAGCAGCAGCAGCGGGAGCAGCGCAGGTAGCAGCAGCTGCAGCAGCAGCAGACTCCCGGCCTGTATGAGCTTCAGCACTGCCTGCAACGTGCCCTTCCCTGCTGCTTCGTGAGTAGCATTTCTCTGTCTCTAATCGCATTCTATTGTCTGTCTCAATCCGGTCCTGTATATTCTGCTGCAGCAGCACCCGCAGCAGCAGCAACGGTAGCAGCAGCAGCACTTTTGGGCTTCTCAGCATTAGCAGCAGTACACTCCTGCGTATTGTTTGGAGGAAGTATTGCTGTTCTTGCTCATTAGGGTGCAGCACTGCTGCATTCTTTCGTTCTTAGTGCTGCAGTTGCCACTGCTACGGCTACCCCCCACCAGTTGGCATTGCTTCGTGCCGCACAATCGCTTCTCCTCCGGCTGCTGTTGCTGCTGCTGCGTAACGGCGAACGGGTCGAGAAATCTGCAGTGTATCCACTCGTGTTCTTGCTGCTGCAGTAACTTCTGGGCTGCAACGAGAGAAGTACCAGCAACTTTGGTGAGCGGTTAGTTGCATCAGCCAGAGTCCTGTATTGTCACTTTTGCGATCCAGCGGCAGTTGTAGCATGTGGGAGCCTTGTTCTTTTTCTCCCTCATTCACTGCTAGTTCGAGCTCACTTTAGGCGCGTTCTGCTCCATCTCAGTGCTCCCGCCTCTCCGTGGACAAGGAGGCCACTGAGTCTTCATGGTCCTGTTTGGTGGAGCTTCTGCATCTCGGCTGCTGCATTGCCTCGTCGGTGTGTTTGTGCAGCGGAAGAAGTACAGAACTCAGAATACTGCGGCAACTATCTCGGTGGTTTGCTGGAGGCGCCGTGGCAGTTGCGGCGGAGGGTGCGGCAGCGACGGAGGAAGTCGCGGGAACGAAAAGGAAACTGGCTTCTGATCACGCTGTTGCTGAAGCAGCAACGGCCTTCACGGAGGTTATCAAAACGCACAAACAGCTGCTGCTGTCCCTGGCGTCAGCAGCAGAATCTGCTGACTGGAGCGCTCTCGCCGCCCTCTGTGGCCGACAACACGTGAACGAGCGGTAGCAAAAGCAGATAGTTTCTGCGTGAAGCAGAAGTCCCTCGTTTGAAGTGGCAGCCTTGGACGTATCGGCTTGACAGCACGGCGACGACGGAACGGCTACGGTTCCTCCCTTTCCCAGCCAAGATGAGCTCAGAGCAACACGAAAACGAAAGGCCTGTAAGCAGCAGCAGCAGCAGCAGTATGGGCAAACGCACCTCAGGGGTTCGGTGGTTGTGGGTTGTTGCTTTAGCAGTGATCTCTCCTTGTAGACTGATGCTGTCACGTTGTTTCGTTCTGACACAGCTCTATATACCATCGTGTTTGATCATATCTGTTGGTGGCATTGTAGGTCTGCCGTTGCTGCTGCACCTATTTCGTGTGCTGCAGTCTGCCCCACCCTTGTGTGCGAAGAACTGCGGCTTCTACGGCAGCCCAGCTAACCGCAACCTCTGTTCAAAATGTTACCGGGAATTCTTGAAGGCGGAAAGTGCAGCTGCTACAGCTGCTGCTGCTTGCAGACGCGCACTGCCTCAGCAACAGCAAAACGCCGGCGATGTTGCTGGAGACACGTCGTCAGCAGTTCCCGCAGAGCAGTCCAGCTCCGCACGTTCACAGCTGAAGGCAGTTACGGAGCCGTCAGATGCCATAGTGCCTGCTGCTGTTGCAGCGACAGAAGCAACAGCTGCTGCGGCTACTGTGGCGGCGGAGAGCTGTAGCGAAGAGGCAACTGCACCTACTCAAGAAGCTGTTACTGATGATGCTGCTGCAGTTGGACTAGCCCCGGCCGCAATGCCTTCAACGGCGTCAGAGCCCCAACCTGGCGTAGCAGCAACGCCAGAAGCAGGAGCAGCGACAGCAGCAGCAGCAGCCGCAACTAGCATGACAAGCTCCTCTCCTGTCGAGAGCACAGACACTGCAGCACCCCCCTCCCCTGCCTCTGCACCAGCGTCTTCAAGTCAAGGCAGGGTATGTAAAGCGTCATGTGCTATGTGTTCATGAGTTGTGAGTATTCGTTGGTTGGTTGGCCATAAAGAGCTCCTTGAGAAAGTTCCGCTTGGTACGCTCCTTGGCGTAGTTTGCTGATGCTGCGGTTATTGCAGGGAAAAACATCGCGTTGCCACAAGTGCAACAAGAAGGTTGGGCTGTTGGGTTTTGTGTGCCGCTGCGGTTTCGCCTTCTGCGGGGAGCACCGCTACGCCGATACGCATGGGTGCGTGTTTGACTACAAGGCGTTCGAGCGCGAGCAGCTGAGGAAGCAAAACAATAAAGTCGTTGCAGACAAACTCCAGAAGCTTTGAGCGCGGACGACAGCGCTCGTTGGCCGGTCGCGTCGCAAGGGTACGCCGTGGCATGCGGCAGCAGCAGCAGCACTAGCAATTCTGCGTTGTGCAGTGTGCATCGGCGCAGAAAATACAACGGCGAGTAGCTGAGTTTTGTTCGTACCGTCTGTTGTTGTAACTGTTGTTCTGTTGCTGCGCCCACGTGTGCTGCTGCAGCAGCTGGGGAGCTGAGGCGGTGGCTCCTTCCTGGAGGTCGAGCCAGTTGGCTGCCATGTTGAAGTATCTGACGGCGCATCTGTTTGCTGGCTCCTGGAGTGTACATGTCGTCTAATACTGTATACGCATCATCCAGTTGCTTGTACATGGTATATATACATACACCTGTGTTTGGGATGGTTGGTGTTGCCGCTTCCCGAAGCAAACGGGTGCAGAAAACGCAGAGGCAGAGCACCCGATCGGCTGTTTGTCTTTTATACATATGTATATTCACATGTGCGTATCCTTTCATGCACGGACACACATTGCACGTACATTCACAAGTGGTTCCGGTGCATGTACATTGCGGGTGTGGCCACATCGAATAGTATGTTTGTTTATGTACATGTATATAAAATGTATGTACTGCAACTCCTATATGCTGGCATTCTGTCTGGGCTTTCTCTCATTGGCGTGTACGGCGGGCCGGACTCGCTGAAACCAAGACGAAGCGAACATCAAGCAGTCGCACTTTTAACATAATATGTAGATAAGGGCTACAATTTTGCGCGTATCGCTGAACTTAGATCGTGAGATAGGTGCGGGGCCCATTGAATCTTGTATAGGAAGTCTGGAAGGTAAGGCCATGCGGCCACGGGGAATGTGTACATCTCGGGGCAAGTGTTTAGTTTGCCGTTCCAATATAGGCAGGAGCATGTAAGGCCATGTAAGCCATCTAAGACAACAGGTAGGTAAGGGGCGTTAGGTAGGTGAGGGAGGCATGCTTGGGGAGGCGTGGTGGTACCTAGTGAGGTAACCACGGGACTCCACCAGTGGATAGTTCCCCACTATTCGCAGTCAAACTCCCAGTGCCTCCTCCGCTCGCTCCTTTTGTAGCCGTTTGAGAGGAACAACCTGGCCAGAATGTCGGCGCCTCCCATACATATGGCTTCCCCCTGCAGCGCTGCAGGGCTCCCTGAGCTCCATTAGTTTACGCTCTAGCTGTGCTGCCAATATACTTCTACAGTACTTATCATGAAGACAGGACGGCTCGGTTTAGCGAGCAGATACCGCCGTGAACTGAAGAGTCCCCGCAGTGGGCAAGGGCACGGGGCGTCATGTGTGTAGTTTAGAAAGTAACTTCAATGAAACACTGGCGCCTCAAACCAACACACACAAGACGCAAGTTTTCTGCTTCCCTGCGATTCTTTTTCGTTTGTTGACCGTGGGTTGGCAGCCAACCCTGCTAGTGTGCATGCAGGGTTCTGGTAGTGGGGACCAGTTGGTTGGAGGGGAAATGGCTGTTGTGGATCTGTCCACAATAGGTACTAAGTTAAGAAATCACTTGCTATTAGTATACTAGAAAACAGAACCTAGACGCTGCTTTCAATTTTACTTATCAACAGGGACCGCCATTAGACGTAGCTTGCTACGAGACAAAATGGTATTTCATGCGGCTCTCCCCTGTGTTCTTGCCTCTCTCGCTACTTCTACTAGGCGTCTTACATTTTAACCGCTGGTTTTTAGTAGAAAATCCAGATGTGGCTCCTCTGCCATTGTGCAACTTTGCCAGCGGGAACCGCAGGGCGTCTCCGTTGCTTGCTCCTTCTCGTGCCTTTGCTTCAAGTGTGGCAGACTTACGGGTTGAATTCTTCGCTTGCCTGTTTGTGACGTGCAGGAGAGTGCATGCAGCAAGCGCAAGCCGTCTACGCAACTCACCAAGGACCAGCTGCAGGGCGAGCCGGAGGAGGCGGAAGTGGCAGAGACAGGAAGCTCCCTTGATCTGAAGGATGCGGACGCCAACACTTTGAAGAACAGACGGTAATTTTCACACTACCTACGTAGAGCTATAAGCAGACGAGGTGCCGGTTGGCGTTGTTGCAGCTGGTGTACAGCTGCCGTCGTTGTGCTGCTGTGTAAATAGCCGGCTCAAGATCGTCCGGACGCACGCACCTCCCGTGGTTAGTTGCCATGAGCAGCAGTCGACGAAGGAGGCCTCTGTAGAAAACAAGGTGGGTTGGGGCCGTACCCTCGCACACTAGAAGTTTTCGGCGCCTTCACTGCTCTAACAGGTTTCATCCGTGATATGGCCTTCGTATTCTGCATTTCGCGTGTATCAGGAAACTCCTGTTGCAGTCTCGGAAAAGGAAGAGTCCCCTGGGACTCCTGCAGCAAGTGCACCTGAAATTGTGACTACTCCCGTCACAGCGTCAGCGATATCATCAGCAGATGTGGGCACCAGTGGTGACGCGGCTCCTGCAGCCCCAGCTGCAGCGGACACATCTGCTGGAGCGACAGTGCCCGCGTCAGCAAGTGTATCGGCTACTGATGGAGTTTCTGCTGCGGATGCCAACGGGAAGACAGCGGCAGATAGCAACCCCAGCACCAACACTAGTGGTGGAGGCATATTTGGTTCCTTGCTCAAAGGAACCCCAGCGTTCGTCAGTCCGTTTGGAGCGCTTGTGAGTCGCGACTGACCACTGCGTGTTTTTCTGCTTGAAATCAGGGGAGGTTATGCCATGTGTTGCGGTGTCTTTTGTCATTCCGGTTCAAGTTGTTATCTGCCTGCTGTCCAGGGCCCTTCGGGCAACTCGTTTCTCTTACCGTCTGGGGGCCCTGTGGAGGGGCACTCATCTCTTTTGGGGGGCTCTTCAGGATCTGCGTCAGCTGAAGCAGACGAGACCGATGTGCCACCACCAGAGGAGCCAACTGTGGTAACTACAAGTAAGCACGGGCTATGGCAGCATTCACAGAAGTGCCCGTGGTGTTTTGCTCTGTCTGTAAGAGCGGTGGGGAAAATGTGCAGTTGTGACTGTTGCGATGTCTTTCTCTGTTTCAGCCGTCGACAGCAAAGAAGAGGTCATTTTTACAGACGTAAGAGGCTCCGTGGATTACTGCACCGAACGCCTCTTCGGCTTTCCGCCGTCTGAGTGGCGTTGTTCATTTACCGTGCACCGTGGTCCTGCTGCAGCCGTCCTTCAGATTCTCAGAGGAAATTATTGCTTTCATCTTTGCTTCCGTTTCAGCGCGACTGTCGCATGCAGTGCTTCGATATTGCAAATAAAGTGTGGACACCGAAGCCGCCTCTAGACGGGAAGGTTGACTTTGTTACGCCCAAGGCAAGCCTTTTGAGTTGCTGGTGCTGCTAGACTATTTGCCGATTGTCCTTGCGAGGAAAAGATGCTGCAGCTGGTCTTGTTATAACATGTGCAGCTGGCGTAGATGATAGGTTATTGCCTGTTGGTTATTTTTGTATCCAACAAGGTTGATTTCTCCCTTTCGCTCAAGATGATCTTCCGTTTTTCAGAAAGGAGAAGAAGAAGGCCTGCCCAATGCGCGCATACTGTTTTTCGTTAATCGGACCGGCCGTCTGCGCCTTAATTCACCAGTGTTGCCATCAACTGTCAAATTCAGGCATCCAGTTGAGCGTTCTGCAGTTGCAGCGGGGACAAAAGCAGTATCATCAGGCGCGGCAGCGGCACCAGATGGCGGAGATGCGGCAGCAAAGGACGAGCTTAAAGACATTCCGTTGAAGATGAATACTGTGGAATTTACAGGCCTCAAGCTCGATGCAAGTCAGTGTGCAGTCTGTGGAGATTTTAGGCGTATCCTGTAAATTTACAGCTGTTTGCTGTTAGTTTTGCCTTGGGTGGTTCGGTGTTGTTTGTTCATATTGTGCTTCAAAAGTCTCTGTTGCTATTACTCAGAGGACGCAAAGGATACGACATTTTATCGCATTCGCTTCTCCAGCGATGAACGAGCAGCGGAGTTCATGGCACTGGCAAACGCGAAACAGGAAGAGGCTAGCAGTGCCGCACGAAACGGCAGCACCAATTAGTGCACTAAACACAAATGACAAATGAACGACCCGCAGCAGAAGGTGCGGGGCGTGGCATGGGTCAGGCGAAGTACTAGCCAGGGGAATGCCTCCTGGGGGCCCAATATCTTTCTCAAACGTGTTGAAGTGTTGTTTTGACAATTATGCAGACAGCCATGTAAAATGGATTAGGGCTTATCAGTCAAAGCCACGTAGCTAGTTGATCGTTACACATAGCGCGCAGTGGCTTGCACTATGAAGCTACACGCATCTTCATTCTTTTACCGTCTTGCCGGTAGAACGCTCGTGATAGTAACGGACGTAGGCGCGAGGAAGGCGCAGTAACAACTCAAGAGAAGAGATTGCTAGTTGGCGTGTGGTCTTGAAAGCTTTGCGCCACATGCTGTACACATGGGACTTGGGGTCTGTGGAAGCAGTACACAAGAGCAAAACAGCAAGACAGCGCATATGATGAGACAAAGCATAACAAAACGCACGGAGTATTCATGGGAAAAAGGACCTGAAGTCTGGTGGTTTTGTGAGAGGCACATTCCAGTCGAGCCCGCTATGAGCAGTATGAGCAGCAAGAACAGAATAATGTACTGTCCTGAAGGAATGCAACACTGCCTCCAACACCTAAGCAACAGAGGCTACGCCGTCTGCTGTACCTTACTTGTTATTTTGTTGAGTATTCCAAGCAAAACAACGGCCGGATTGAAGACTGAGGGTCGTGAAAGAAGCAGCAGCGAGTCAGCAACGAAGTACATCTGGACCAGCCACTCCTGCAAATTTGATGTGAGTGGCTCCTCTCCTGGGGAGAAGTCTGTTTCGACAATATCAGCAGTCTGCGAGCTGACAAGGTTTCCCACTGCTTCCTCGGCTGCATCTTGTTCTATTCCCGCTGTTCTGCTCAGTAAAAATGCCGCTGCGCGCTCGACTGCGTCGATCTGCAGCTGCTTCAGCATCTCTCGAAGCTCGTCCTTGGTCATGCTTGGCGTTTGCAGCAATTTTTCCAGAACTGTCGAAACTAGGTCGCGTACTGGTTGAACGGCCATGAACGGACTTTTCTTGCTGACAGCTGCTACCACCTTGTGCATTCTCTCGCGGGCAGTTGTAGATGCTTCTGGGGAAGCTGTGACGCCCAGGACACCCATGGAGACTAACTTATTCCATAGTTGGTCCAGAAGAACTGCAGCAAACAAAGCATGAAACAGTGGAAGCTCAGCTGGTAGTAAGGTTGGCTGCCTCACTGTGACGCCGAAGACGTGGCTTTCCAGGACCGCAGTACTTCAGGAAATGATAAAATGTGCTCATTTTCTATTACCTTGATCCACAGTTCTCTGAATTATGGTGACGTTATCAATCCCCATGCGAAAAAAATATGAAAACAGCTGTTCTGTTTCCAATGCATCTTGTTCCACTGTGATTCTGGAGCGCAGTTCTAGCCAAAGCGGATGGACGCAGAGTTCCTGTCGGCCCCTATGGCTTGCCTGAAGCTGCGGAGGTAAAACTGTGCTATCTGCCATCAGGGACTCTGCTGCTGTTTCGGGAGACTGTGCATTTGTCTCAATTTCATCCTTCAACCAAAGATCTGCATCCTGTTTACATGCTGCGCTCCTCACAGCTAAATAGTCTGTCGCCAAAAGGCCTTTCCACCTTTTGCGGGTTCCGTCAAGGGCAGCCTTCATCGACGAGGGCAGAAAGGCAGTGAAGAATGGGGCGTTGCTTTTGTCTGCTCTTGATGCTGCCGATCCAACTGAGGCCTTCGCATTAGTCCCGCTGACCACTCTTCGATTCCGCCGGTTCCTTCGCAACAGTAGTCCAACGTGGTGCACAAATCGCCGTTGTTTCTTTCTGGGACCTCCAAGGATGACCGTAGCTAGCTCGTCAACAAAGCGAGTGGATATTTCACTATACAAGCGGGAGGGAAGCTGAGCTATTGACAGCAATGTGTGGAAAGTAGATACAAATGTGGAACAGTGTGCTTCAAAGAGTATGGCTTGCTCTTTCAAGTGTGCTACAGTCGCCTTCGCGTTTTCGAGACTTTCTTTCTGTGCTTTTATGGCCATATCTACGGAGTAGCCGCCAGTGTACTTCTTTTCAGTCTCAACCGCGTCAGATTCTCCAGGGTTATCAGAGTCTCGCGATTCCTTGGAGCTAGGGTTCATTGTGGGTGGCTTCAGCGTGTCGGTAGCTTTTGTCGCTAAAAGTGTACTTTCGTCCTGGAACCCTCGTTGAGGTTTTACTTCCAATGCCGAAATTTGTTTGTACTCTTCTGTCCGCTTCGATAGGTCACTGCCTGAGACTTCCGACTTGTGAAAGTTTTTCCGTGCAGCATCTAGTGGGCTTCCTTCGTTTGCAGGGTACCGGATGGATTGCGCACGGCTCACAGTTTTGACCTTTGGGGAAGCTTCGGTGTCCCCTCTGCCTGTGTTTACGGCACCAATGTTCAGGCTGTCTAATACGTCTTCTGCATCCCCGATCTGGAGTAGTACTGACGTTATCATCCTCAGGCGGCTCGACCCGTTGATAGGAATGGTGTACGATGTCCCGGAGCTTCTATCTGAAAACGAAAGCCACCAACTCGTTTCCCTTCAGCTGGATTCCCACGAAGTTGCAAACCCTACTACTTAAAATTGAAACGAATTACTTTTGAGTTACAGGAACCTTACCTTCTGGCGTGCATTGCAGCGGGGAAGCGATGAAGTCATCTCCCACAGCCTCAGGTCCCAGGCCCATAATTTCAAGCGCTTTCATCAGCGGTGCATGCAGCAGGAATCCTGCAGTCATTTCAGGCTGTCGTGCAGTTTCACTGTAGATTTTCACCCGTTGTGCTGCGCGGATAAGTGACTCTAAGTTATGAAACTCGAGAGCTTGTGAGGTGGTTTCTTTGTTGGCCTGGAAATACAGCGGCAGTTTAGATGTGACAAGCAGTTGCCGCAGCTCTTCCAGCTGCTTCACGCCTGCTTCTCTTCTTCTTTGATGGTTTGGATGATCGAGCACGGGAATCGCTAGGTTGCAAAACAGAAACATGCTCGCATGACTAAGCCGAGGACGATGAAGCTTTCCGCCAGCTGCAATTTCGAAGCAGAAAATCATACGCGACTACATTTTCCCCCACATACCTAAGGCAGAAGAAGGCCTCTTGGTTGTACACATGTAAGGGTCCGAGGACAGCAACGCATAGGTGCTCGCATTCGTGACTACTTTTCGTCGGGTTTCGCCTTACCGGCAGCTAACGGGAGGCTCGCTGGTGAAACGTTACTAAGCAGCCCTAGAGTCCGGTGAAGGCGTAGTTCCGTCGGAGACACCATCGCGGACTTTTCAAATAAAGTTAGTGCATCCCCTACTTTAAGCACCAGCTTTATGCTTGCTGGCTCCAAATAAGCCAGGTTCCTCTCCGTGATGAAGTAGTTGCCTTTGTCCCTTGGTGTCGATCGGTCCAGGAGCAAGGCGAAGCGAGAAAACAGATGGGAAAGATGCGACCCCACGAAGGCTGGAGCGGCCGATGTTATGTGCAGGAGTGACAGAAATCCAGCGCACTGCCGTACATGGCGCTTATAATCGATGCCTAGTTTAATGCGGTCGTTTTCCAGCTGAATTCTGAGTTGTTTTATTAGCCCTGTAGATGCACATGCAGTTTCACATTCTTCCTGATGTAGAAGGTAGTCTCTAGCGTTGACACGTGAGTTCTTCCTTTTAATGGCGAAACTAACTGGGAGCAGACAAGCTAGTTTCCAGCTCTGTGCTTGCTCACTTTTCATTGAAGGGGACGGCGTGGGCATCATTTTCATTTGCGTAACGACCTCTGTTCCTTCAATCCGATCCATAATAGGCAGTACTTCGAACTTTGTGATTGTGCGAAGGCGTGTGAAGGCAGCGAGGGTTGTCGGATGAATCAGCATTTTGCTGGGAAACAAGGCCTGGTCAGCGAATGTCTCCACTGCTGCGAGATGCAGAGTGCGTAGAAACTCGGGACCTCTCAAAATATTGAGCGCCCTGAGAAGAAAAATGTGGCAGCCAATGCGCAACAGCAGGCTCATTGAATTTGAAGGCAAGGAAAGTGGCTCACTGAGGCCATGCGGAAGCAAGAGGGAAAGCGTCACTGCTTACCGAACCCCAAACACGCGTTTTGCTGCTGCGCTTCTTATCTTGTGAGCCACGCGCCCTGCGCCTTGAGTAATCTGCTTTTTCAGAGTGGCGAGGGAGCGTCTAATGGCTGCCTGAACTGAAGCTGCTTGCGCTCGACTATCGCCTCTGCGTCTGGGCCTGGCATTTAAATACGTTTTCCATGAATACCTATTGCTTTTCTTTGCTCTGCGAAGAAGCTGAGTTACTTCATGCAGATATCTGAAGGCAGCCTCCTTCTCCTTGGGACTCGGATTACCCTGCGAATACCGCCCAAAAATCCTTGGTGTAGGCAGTTGTACCGAGAAATTTCCCAAAATACAAATAATTGGGGAAAGTTCGGATCTCTTCATAGTACACAGACTACTGATGGGCCACCACAGGGCCTACTTGTTAATCTTACTACTGCCAACAGTTTTTTACACACACAAGCTGTGATTCAACTTAGAGGACGCTGCTCTGCTTTTCTGAAGCTACAAACCATGTGGCGCTTTCCGAGGAAGCGAAGCAGGGAGCACTGTATAACACCAGCATCATGGGCTGTGAGTTTGGCAAGGCCCTTCTCGTCTGGGCTTGTGCTTGCTCTCATGTGTAACTCTTCGCACAAATCTTCAAAGTATGCACCCTTTGCTCCCTCCTCACGAGAGAAGGCTTCACTGATTGAGGTTTTGCCGCTACCTGCTGGCTCTCGAGATGTACTAGAGTATCCTGAGGTTTCCAAGTGAGAAGAAATAGGCCTTTCTGTAGTTGGTTGCCTCCTTGATGCATACTCATCCCACAGAAGTAGCTGAAATTTACTTAACATGCTCGTTAAGCCTGTGACATTCTTCTCTGCCAACTTCAAAGCCTCCAGACCGAGAGTAGCTGGCACTATTAGTGCCAAATCAGACAAGCCCGCATTTAGGCTCCCTAAGCGCAAGCAGATGGCAAAGACGTAATCTCTGCCAGTCGTAGAATGCTACTTCTTTACTACAGGTGCTACAGGGATATAGGGACATAAGCGTGCTACTCTCGTTCCAAGGTTTGGGCACACTGCTTAGGTACTGGTGGACTCCGCACCTGCTGTAATGACGGTCGACTCAAGCGACCTAACAAGCAGCTCCAGGAGCCCTTCAGCGGAAAGGTCAAAAGAATAGAGAGCCTTCCCACTTTCAACACCAAACTTCGTGCTGTCCAGCTGCATTCCATTGGACAGGCTCTGTTGGACGAAATCCAACTCCGTCGGAGTGGTGTTATTAAGAAACGCTTCCCAGCTTTCTTCGCTATAGAGCATCCTTTTTGTTGCAACTAAGATATCTGCTGCCTGAAAAGCAACCAGCCGGAAGCCACAATCAGGCCGTATGCGGAATGCCTTGGTCGTCATTTAAATCTCGTTCCTGCATTATCGGTATTCAGATTCGGTCTCCACAAACCGCCAGGAAAAGTGAATTCTTTATATCTGACTGCTCTATTTAGAGGGTTTTACATTTCTGGTGTAATGAATAAGGTGCTTCACTAGAGAATGAGCACTTAAACTACGTCACTGCGTTTTACCATCAACGCGTCAACCCGTGGAATGCCTTTTGACCAGAGTGCTGCTTCTATGAGGAGGGCAGCATTCTCATCTTCATGTTTGGCCTTCAGGACAACTGTGGAGTCAACAATGTAGCCATTTATGTCCGCTAGGCCTGGTACCTTCAGTTTGCCTCCCACGTCATTTTGTGTGTACCAGGCAGTAAATTTAACAAATTCGTGCTCAGGCGTGCACAGCTTTTGTCTCACATCAGGCGCCAAAGCAGGTTCTGTGTATGCGCATCACACCGAATACAAGCACTCTACTTGTTCTTTGAATGCTTCTTTGTGAACTGCTGCTTAGCTCCAAGTTGCTGCGAAGATCTCATTCAACGTGGTAAAAAATGTGCGTACCTGGCCTGAATATTTTGGCTTTCCCCAAATCGGTTGTCATCACGAGAAGTGTCCCCATTTTGATGCATTGAAGGCGGGTCAACCTGAACTGAGTGCATAAAGGGGTCTGCAGCGTAATGTTGGCCATTCAATGCTCTGAGTCATATTTCCTAGGTCATAAACCTTAGCTACAAAATATTGTCGTTGATACTCGTACGACGACTGGCTGATCTCATCTGGCAGCAAAGGAGTATACTCACGAGCCTTCGAATAACTGTATCCGCTGCCATTTGATTGGAGGTCACTGGAAACATTCGCACAATTTCGACGCACGCGAGCATACTTTCAATGCCGTGAATCAACGGAAGTGCGTGAAAGGGTATATATGATCGTGGAGTGAATGGCTACATAATCTGCGAAAGCAGTACCTGCTTGTTCAATAAGAGATAGGGCTTCTTTCGAAATGGGATTGCCCTTTTTTCCCTGACCTTTCTGCTCTGGAAATATATAGTCAATCAAGATGTCAAGACCCCACCGGGTTCTCCGTTGAAAAACTTTGAGGGTTCGAGTACGGTAGCGAAACCATGCTGAGTCCTTAAAGAATGCCATGAAATCTTTCTTCAGTTCTTGCAGCGATTCCCCAAGTTTCTCGTTTGGTCCAACGTGCACACCCAGGTGGGCTGCCAAAATAAACTGCAAAACAGCAAATCTCGACTTCGTCGCTTCGTCTGCGTTGAAGCATGGTTGTCGGTCAGATCGCCTGCACAAATGGACTCTACCACGGCCTACAGTGGCCCGAAACATCTTTTGTAGCCTTCCAAAAATACTACTGAACGCCTTAACAAGCTTTCCCACAGACCTCCGTAAGAGGGACATCATCAACATGTCCCTCTTTTTCGAATACATTTCCAACAAAGTAGCCTCTGTGGATGTCACAGTAGTGTCGTTTGCGTTTTTGAACTCCGGAGCTGCCCTTTCCAATTCAGGAGGCATATCCACATCAGTGAAGGCTTCTAGTCTCTGTCCTACTAAGGACAAGTCTTCAGGCTTGCCTTCAGTGCTAGTTTGCTCAGAAGCAGTTCCAGAGGAGGATCCGTTGGCTCTTCTTGTTCGATCTACCGGCCTCGGTTTCCACTGGTGAAGCTTGCGCAGCTGAAAGAAGGCAACTGCGAACAACGCAAACACGAAAGAACGTACGAGCATGCAGCTCGTTTGACACTGCGGCAAAAGCAGCGAAGGAAGCTACGTTGCAACAAAGGGACTGGAGAAAACCTCCTCACCAATGCCTGCCACTCCCGCAGTGATATTGTGGACGTCTCTTTGCATCCGTGGCTTGATTAAGATATTCTGTGCCAGTGATTGCTTCAAGCTATCTTTGCCGAATTTGGCTCTCAGTGTTTCAATAGTAATGTGTCCACCTTGCCGTGTTTGCGCTTCAAGCGAAACTTTAGCTGTGTTGTATACCATAAGCAGCAAATCTGTAATGTGGTCTCGGAGTGACATCCAGCTTATGAAATTCAGGACTTCTGTAGACCTAGCCAAAAAAACTTCCATGCGTCGGAAGGCTCCTTCGCACTGCAGACATGGACCAGCCACCGGTAAAGTATTTCTTTCAAATCATGTGGTCTCAGCAGACGAAACGCTTTAGTACAGTGCCTGAACTTACGATAATTTTGGTCTTTGCAAGCAGCTTGTCTTGTTCCTGTTCCCGCACACACAAGCTGACAGTGCGACTCATTAAAATTAAGCGGCAGCGTGGGGAGTACTCGTGAAATATCGCATCAGAGCCCTTCATACGTACGTAGCATTTCGTCGTTTCTTCTTCGTAGCCCGGGAGGTAGTCCTCTTCCACTAACGATGAATACTCCTTGGCGAAGTCGATTACTCCGTTCATAAATCCGACAGAGAATACCTCGCTTGAAAACGTCGTTTGTGAGACAGTTACATCAAGGGCTTCCACACCGACTGAGTCGAGCTGCCAGAGCTTGGTAAGCATTGCCAGATATCTACTGCTGAAGGAGCTCTTCAAAAGAGTGGATCCATGAGGGTCGTTTCTAAGCCGAAAAACTGAAATCAAAAGGAACACTCCAATAGTGTCGTCGTCTTCAAAAATTGGGGTGAGGCCACTGCTTTGAAGCCCACTTTGTTTTCCTGCCAGCGTTGTGAGAAGCTCTTAGGCAGCAGAAAGGCGTCACTTAAATACACAAGGGGAGGAACTGAGGAACTGTGAAGGGATCGAGCTTACGCTGTGCGTGCTTAAAGACAGCCCTTACGCCTTTAAGAACCTTAGTCTTCGCAAAGTTGTACAGCTGTTCAAAGAGGGGTGGAATACCCAATAAGCAAGCGACCCCCATTGCTCCTGCGAGACCACCAGTGATAGCTAGGAGTGGGGGGAAAAAAATCAAATTTAGTGCTCGGAGAAAATACTGGAGGATTGTCCCCACAACTCCTCCGGGTAAGAACAGTGCGGGGCCTGCAATACTCTGAATAGTCATGGCAATCTTAAGGCACCCTTGGACCAGGTGCAGCCCCGAATGAAGCATCGGCTTGAATGAGAAGCCTAAGCTTACTCCAGTGTGGAGTATGCTGTGTGCAATAGTAAAAATTGATTCAGAGGCCAAGGCCTCAAACAGTCCAAGAAAACCGCCATCTGCACGCAGTTGTAGAGCACCATTGGCATTACGCTGACAACACAGAGCATTCGCGTCGAATATTTAAACACGACACAGCTTTAAAGCTGTTAGGCGTGAACGGGAATTGACTCACGTTTCCCTTCTCTTACGCTGAAAACCAAGTGCTCAGTCATCATCATAAAGCCATGGTCGACTCGGAGTTGTTTAAGGGAAGCTCCTGAGAAATGCTTTAATACTTTAAGCACGCTGTTGAGCTCGGCTCGTTCCTGGGGTTTGCTCTTCGGGGCCGCTGCGCGAAAATATGCATGCCTCGAATCAAAACTGTCTGCGTTGCAGAGCAGTTCCACTCACTGAGCCGTGCACATTTCCTGTACATAATAAACTTTAGCCAGATGCAATGAGAAAAAACAGGTTACCCTTTTCGATGACTTTGTCGAGCCTTCTCATGAATTTTCGCCTCGTCTTCAGGTCAGGGAGCAGGCTCCCTACGATGATGTTGGTGACTGCCAGAGACCGTAGTGATGTGTGCGTCTGGGAATAGCTAAAGCCTGGACCAAACCATATGAGGAAAAAAAGTAGTGGCAAATGTGGCAAGAGTGCTAAGCCGTTCTCGGAGTAGCTTAGGCCGGAGCTGCAAGGAGAATCAGATGAAAGGCGATTAGCCGCTGTGTCAGTCTTACTCGGCTTGACCAGTCCGTTGGTCGTTTCTCTAAGAATATTGTGGTATAAGACCAAAGAAGACTCATCTGTTGGTGAAAAGCGTGTCTCCATCATGGAGACCAATGAGTTATTGTCCCTTGAGTCCAAGAGAGGACCTGCGACACACCTCAGATGCCTTGAAGAAGAAAACCTGCATGAGAGACTTCGAGAATGTGACTCGATGCTGCATTCCATGTGAAGAAATAACGCACATTGTGCCAGTGTGTTTGTTTGTCTGAATACAAATTCCTGCCCACCCTCTAAGTTGGAGACACTTGTTCCTTCAACACTACCGTCGTCCTTGAGGGCATTGAGGCAGGAAGATGCTCCATCGAGCTCGACTTCATTGCAGTGGACTCTTAAAGCGTCTATCAATGCCAGATTTGGCCGGTTAAGCGGTTGAACTGCTTGTGTAGGAACTGGCAATGCACTGCGGTGAGAGCACTGCGCAAGGGGCCAGTATCGCGAGAGGACCCAAGACGCAATGACTGCGCTTGCAGTGCTACCGGGTCTCATTTCCACGTGTAAATGTCGAATCGGAAGAGCAAGCCTCCTGGTTCATGCTGAAGGAACTGGCAGTCCGTTTTCCCAAGGCCTGCTTGGGCATCTAGGCCCACCACAGCGAGCGATCTGAGCTAGTGGAGAGCCCAGCTGAAGAGCAAAAGCCAACAAGCGTATAAAAAGAATACAAATTTTAACCGTTCAGAAGCTGCTGCGTGTATTGTGATGTGTTTGAGGCTGCACATATCCGGATGTGTCTCGGGTGCCTTGGTCCCCTGTGGTTGGCCCGTTCAGGTAACTACGCAGGTCGTGTACAAAGCGCCCTCTTAGCCGTTATCTGAAACATTATTTTTGTCAATTTCGCAATAATTAAGGACTGTCATGGGGCTACAGGTCACTGCTGCTGCTGGCGCCTAATTATCATCGGTCTTGCCTGGACCACGCCATACCATTGGTTGTGACTCCTATTGAGGCAGGGCTGGAGTTAGCCGCGGAAACCCTACACAAGTAACGGCCGCACATTCTCGAAATAAACAAAATCATGCAGTGCGTTGTCATTACCAACGAGGGATCTTTAATGCCGCCGAACACTGCGGATTAATAGCCTGCGCTCCAGCCGCTGATAACAAGGAAGCAGTACACCTAGACGAGACAGAACGAATACGCGTTTTTTACGGCCGTTTACTCTGACTCTTCTGTTCAAGAAGATTGACATTTTTGTAGCTACACATACACTTTCAACTCATGATTCCAGACGGACCCTCTCCCGCGTGCCTCAGGGAATCCCCAGTTCTGCTGGGCACTTCACAAAACTGCTGCACCTTTGCCTAACGCCTATTTTGGTTGACTTGTAAAGCTTGGCTGATTTTTCAGCGTTGCATACTCATGAGCAGTGTCCTGTACACATAGTGTACATGGCACAAACTACTACTTAAGCAACTGCATCGTTCTTTCTGCGTTGCCTGACGAGGGAGGGTGCTCATGAGCACCCTCCCTGGCTCGCCAAACACGCCACTGTGCGAACATAGCCACTCTGGAAGAAGCATAGTGGCAAGGGAGAAATAAATTTGAAGCCCGTGCGACTGAAAGTAGAGACGAAAGGAAGTGGCTTAGCAGCGGACACTGTGCGTGTGGAGCCACTGCCTACGCAGGAGCTCTATACACGCAGCTGCAAAACGCACAATGTAGCAATACATGCACTTTCAGAACTGTTTGTGTAACTCTGTTCTCCGTTGGTCTTGGTGGAAGAGACTGCATCGCCGCATTCGTAGGGCAAGTTTTATTAGATACACCCAACAATGAACTGGCTGTAATCGAGTGTAATAAAAGAAAGCTATGCACTTCTTCCCATCGAATGCTATTTCTCACACCTTCTCAAGCTAAAGCCATGTAAAACGCTGAAACTGTTGCGGCTTTGGCTCCTGTATGCTATGTACGTAAATGTACACAAGACGCAAAGCACGTAAAACGTGGCCTTAAAAATCTTCCGTAAAGGGTTTTCCATCGAAAACTGCACGACAATCTTCACGATCCCAGTGCTCCGTTTTCCGGTGCTAAGGGCTGCAAAAGTAAGTCAAATGCGGGACCTACAGGCAACGTGCCGTTCCTCTGGAGAGCCTTGCACAGCGACTCCACATCCAGCTCCTTCACCTGAGAGAATTCAGATCGGAAAACAGCTGCAGGGCATCTCATAAAGGCATAATGGGTTACCACGGGCCGACACTAGAAGGCCAATCATGTAGCCGCAGACTGCTGCAAAACTTGACTGTAAAGGCAGCAGCGACGTATGAACCTGGCACAAGGTACTCCATCAGCAGTCCGCCAGCAGTTCCCACCTCCTCGAATGTAGAGCATGCGCCCGCGGGAGAGGCTGGCAATTCTTCCACAAGGCTGCATTTGCTTTGCATTGGGCGCAACTGGGTGCTGCTGCCTCTATCTGTCCGGCGGCTGACAACCGAAGCTTCACCTCTTGAGCTTGCAAGAATTAGCTTGGCTTCGTCGATTGCCTTCTCAAAGGCAACCTGAACTGCCACTGACAAAAGCCTTGTCCTGAAAAACACATAAACACTACACGCAGACCTGCCTCACAGAGACGGTGAGCTTGCGACGTTAGCACAGAAATGGTAGGTTTGCGATGTTAGCCCGAGGTGAGAATACACGTGCGCATTGGAAGCCTACGCTGCGGGATCCGTCGTTGTGCAGCCTACACGACTGAGGTAGTAGTCGACAACCTCATCAAGTATCTGCAAAACGAGGACAACAGGAGTGTTGCAACCGCGTGTGATGACGGTGGAAGTTGGACAAAAAATAATGCCGAAAAGATCAGTCAAAAGCACCACCCACCGCGGGCTCATGCGCAGAGAGCTTCTGCAAAAGTTGTTCATCACGAGGACCAAGAATTTCCTCCAAATCCAGGACTGACTTGTCCATAGTTGCTGAATGCCGATCAGAAGAGTTCTGCTCCGTTCCGCAATACGGATCAAGGAGTGCTGGGTCACCCCCGTCACCAAGAAGGTAAAAGTGTCACGAAGGTGCTCACTGAGCTCCTACTATCGTTTGGAGAACGTCAACTAGCATAAGTGGCTCCATGTCAGCACTTCATACGGCTCCTGCCAATGCATCTTCTTCGGCCTAAGTAGGGCCTGCCGTTTGGGTTGGCAGCGCGGCGATGAGGAGCTCACTTCTCCCTGAATGTACAGACTTTCGAGTAAGAAGAATTATAAGTAGCGCAAGGAGAAGCAGCCACCCATGCACGCAGCAAAACTGCTCGCGGTCTACAGGAGACAATGTGGCACAGCCAGCCCAGAATAGGTCCCCTGCAGGCCACTTCTTCATTCACAAGGCTAATGCAGACAGTAGTTTAGCTTGGTAGCGCGCTAAATGAGCGCGATAAACGCAGACAGCGTAGCTTTTTGCAGATTGGCGTTGCTGAAGTTGCATGCAGCCCTGCACTGCAGGCCCCAGTATGGCGGTACACTTCTTTACGTGTTAAAATCTTTTCTTTTCTGCAGACGAGGTTTTGAATACTACACCATAGACCAGCTCCCTCTAGCAGTGCCTGCCCTGCCGACCATATTTTCGCCGTGATAGTTCTCCCAACTGGACCACCGCTCTGTCTTGAAGAACAAAAAGTGCACGTGTTGTCCCAGGTTGCCCATTAAATTCTTTCTTTATCAGCTTTTTTGGGCACTGTGTCTCGACATTTCAGGGATTTTAGGGTTTGTGAAGGTAAGATCCCAGGACTTATAATGCGCCCACGCGAGGGCTACTGCTCATCAAGTTGGCTTCTGGCGGCTTAATCTACCCCGCGAGCACTTGTGTGGCATCTCTTTTATCAATGACAGTAATATGCTCATTTTTCAGTGAGAAAGGGGACGTGACCACCACATGAGGCTGCCTGGTGTATCCGATGGGCTTCCTGAGCGGGTGCGTTGCAGCAATGGCGGCTCCTACAGCTGGAACCGTCAAACAAGACATAAACAACTTGGGTTCCTTGACTCTGAACCAGTGTAACTCACTGGTACGACGTGCGGAAGCGGTGCGTACCTTTGAACTAGCCCTTGTTCCACTATCAGGTTTTCTGGAATCCAACAAACAAAATTTTATATCTTTTCCGCGACATGCAGCTCCTTCAAGGCTGGAAAGGCAAATAAGTACCAGAGCCTTCGCTGTTTACACCTTCGTGTTTACAGTGCTGGTGTGCGGTTATGTGAGCTTGTATGTCATACCAGTGGCACAGCCTACCTCTTTGTGAACGGTGCTCCTGCTGTCCGCAGGAAGTGGAGAACCTCTCAAACCACTTGTCGCAGCTCAAATTCGCGGCATCTCGCGTTTCTGAGGCTCGTGAGGCAGTGATACAGCTTGATGCGTACAGACAGAGGCAGAAAGAGGGGGAAGCGCCCGAAGTTCTCGTGCCACTCACAGGAGCACTCTACGTCAAGGTTGGAATGAAACGCCGCTTTGTCACATATGATAGTATCTAGATTTGGGGATGCTGACAGAAAGTACCCGTGGCTTGGGTCGGGTCGTTAAGTACGCGTTTGAGCTGTCCCACAGCTTTGATTTACATACTGGTCTTCAGGGTCGACTTGACTGCGATGACAAAGTTCTTGTCGACATCGGCGCAGGGTACATGATCCAAAAGACATATCAAGATGAAAAGAAAGATGCAATGAGGTAAGGCTGGATTTGCATTGCGGGATCTGCTTTAGCCCAAATAAATAATATTCAGTCTCACTGCAAGGGCTCATCCACATTCAACTCTCCATGTGCAGCAGCATTGCTCCTACAGAGTAGTGGTCACAATAATATGCAGTCATGGCACCAACTGCTGTAGATGTATTCTGCTGATTCTGGTGACGCTTCACAGGATTTTGACTTCCATGTCGGAGCAACAAGCGCGGCTTGAGAAGATAATTAGCGATAAAGTGAAGCAGCTGCAGGTGCTGGTGGCAACGCTGAACCGTTCGAGGGACGAAGCACCTTCTGGGGCATCCGCTGCCCGTCGGCAGCCGGCACCAGCATGATTCCACGTTTTTGCAAACACAGCATCCGCCAAGAATAGCTGAATTCTGCGTCTGTATGGATTCCACCATCTCTTCTTGATCCCTGCGGTTACCCGGCTCCTTGGTTTGGCGAAATGGAGGACGCGCAGTGTGTTTCCTTCCAAGTGATTTGCTTGTGGAGCTAGTTTCCGGGATTCAGTAATCTCAGGAATTTGTACTACGAAAGACAGAGCTACGTCTACCTCATGAATGCGACGCTTGGGGTAAAGAGGAAGCGTAGTGTTTCTGCGCGTATATGCGCTAGTGGCCCTTTGCATTCACCGTGTCCTGTCTTATAGTGCATCGATCTGCACCTGAAGAGGGCCAGAGATATGGATTATTTCTTTTTGAACGAAACTGTGTTAGTTTCAGCGCACTATATTGACTACCCTGTAGAGACAAGGCTGTCGCATATGCCGTGCAATTGGACTGAATATAAGGTTACAGAGACACTTACTGCATGCAGGACAATCTAATTGGCTAATCATGGACGGTTTTCGTATGACAGTTGTGTTCTAGTTAGTGTTGCCGTGTTTAGTGATGGCCTCTAGCAGCGGTGTCAGGGCAAGCCTACAAGAAGGGACGCCTAATGGAAGAAAAGGCATTTGGCAGAGGAGCATGCAGCCAGAGTGCTGCTTCAAGAGTTTGGGGCCGTCACGAAGCAGTCCAGCCACTCCGTTGGAAGGGGGCAGGAGCAACAATATGGAGCTTGGGATAAGAAGGCATCATGGTATGGAATGACTGAAACGTACTGAGTTGGGATTTGCATATCCCTGTGCAAACCTAGGGTAATGCGCAGCCTACACCGGCCAGTGCTGCCTTCGAAGAGCAAAACACAAGTTTGGTTCTTAACGCTCCGTTTTCCGGCCAAGCGACCTAGCGAGCAGCTGCCCACTGCAACGGCTTGCTCCGCAGATTCTGAATCGCCAGAGAATGACCTTTGGGGTTTCACGTTTGGATTTAACGCGTGTGACCTTGGGTATCCAGCTGATTGAACCCTCGATTTACCTGTTCGCTGGGTGAGGCGGGAACTGACGCCAGGACGTAATGAGAAGTGCAAGTCTTCCTTGAATATTTCTGTGACTGTTGGCTTTTTTGAAAAAAGGTAGAAAATCAGCATGCGGCGAATACGCACAACTCCCCGCTCATCGGGGACAGGCAACACCACAGGGGATGTGCTGCCAAAAAGCCCAAGCTGCAGCAAGTATGAGTTTGGTTTTTCCATGCAAGAAGAGGCAGGAGGATCCTGAAGCGAATCCAGGAACAGCATGAGGCGCCACTGATGCAGTGCGGCGGGCAAAGCAATGTCGTACGGCTGAGGACGTGGCGCTGACTGGATAGCTTCGCCTCCACGGAACGTTATCAACGCTCCTTGAGCATCTTTTGTCAGCGAGGTGTCTGAGTACTGTCTCCCTGCAGCATGTCTATCGGCGGCATCGCTTCCTTTGTTTGCCAATGCTACGAGAATGCTGTCGTCTTCTGCAACTTCTGAATTGCCGTCGAGTCCATCAGCAGATCCGACTGTGGAACTTGGCCATTGCGTATTTTGACACGAGTTTTCGAACGCTTGGAGCAACTCCAGTAGGTCGGGGTCATTCATAAGAAAGCTGCCCTGATGCAGAATGCGGAAACGCGTTGAGGCACCACGCATGCACCATAGTGAAAGTGTAACTGCGTAACTGCTGCACACGGCAATATGGGAATTTTTAAGGTGCAAAACAGCCCCAAAGCAGAGATTCCACCTTACCTGAATCGCGTCCAGTATGCCGGTAACAAAACAGAGCTTCCCAGCATCAGCGCTGATATGCTGGCCAGTTTCCCTGGCCATTTCTGCCTCAAGCTGAATGAGCTCCTTTTCGGCCAAATAGAGAGAGTAGCACGTACCACAGACGGGAGACTCTGCTGACAGCTGTTGCTTCCTAGCCTGATGGAAAAACAGTATTTCTACACCCCTTTTACGCATATGGTGCTGAGCCTCCAGCATCATTCGGTGATTCAGCATGCGGTTCAAAGATTTTTTGCTCCGACTTAGTCCGCACATTGCGCAAACAGATGGTTGAGCTAAGGAGGCTTGCTGCCTCCGGAGTATGGCGGCACTAGCTTTCAAGGCCTCATCAGGAGGCTCATCGTCTGTGTCTCTCCTGACTGCATCCACTTTTAAAGCAGAATCAACATGAGGTCCAGACTTTCTTAGGGTGAAGGATTTGACCTGATGAGCCCTCAACAGCAATCATGCAACGCACATTCTGTAGGCCAGCTGAATTGCAGTTTGAAACGTTGGAATGCTGAAAAGGGAACCTGCCTGACAGTCCCACAAACGCACCTGCAGGAAATACAATTTGCCGTTCCACCCCTTGACTAAGTCTACCACCAGTGACTCCAGCCATACTTTAAAAAGCGTCTGAGTCAGTAGCGCCAATTTTTGAGCGATCCTGGAGGCCTCAGATAAACTTGCTCCAGATAAGGTGAACACGTCAAATGTGCTACAGGAGTCAATTCGTTGCTGCGCATCAGCTGCTGAATCATCTTCATGAAGGTCGTAGTCGGTTTCGCTTGGCCTCCAGACCGGGAACATGTTGTCGCAGCTTACACAGAACTGCCCAGTGATATCTAAGTTGGCATCGCGGCCCTCTTCGGGAGTCAGCTTGTTGACCAAGGTGAAACCAACCGGCATGCTCCCTGCTCGCCATGCTGCTCTTGTCAACTGGCACCGTGAATGTTTTTTTCCATGAACAAAGACCTTCAAGAACCACGCACGGTCCTGGCGGAGCAAACTTTTACTGTAGCTCAAATACTTAGTATTGACACAGTGGCAACAGACCTCATATATGGGCTACGTTGCTGAATTCAGACCGCGCTTCACTTGCGCCTGTATGTAGTGGCTCAGAAAGGAACAGACGGGAATATGGGCGTAGTCAGCTGACGGACAGCCAACGCAAAGTGTGACGTGGTAATGTCATGAGCGTCGTGGTTAATAATGACGCACTTGGACAAGACGCTCTGACGATGAATCTGCTAGAAAGGCAGCCGTGCTGGAAAGATCAAGCGCTTTCGTGATATTCCGATTTGCCGCTGCGTAGTGTTGTTGTTTCACCACAGCTGCTGGAACAGCCATTGCCATTTGGATTGTACGACGTTGGTCACTCCGCAGGGATTGGGGGGCTGAACGCCGCATCATTTTGCCGCCAGGGAACCCTGACGAGGCCAGGTAGAGTGCCGCATTCTTCTCAAAAAGTTTAGAGGCAGTGAAGTCTTCCTTTATTATCCAGCCACTCCAGGCATTTTCAGGGAGAGACAGACTTTGTGAAGACGAGCTATCCGAAGTTAGGGCCAGGGAATTGTTCGTTATGTAGTAGCATTCGGTAGATGTTGCATAAAGTGTGTCTGGCAGTAATATGTCGAGGTTTTTGCACAAACGCTCAACAAATGCAGGCGATTGCCTCCGATGCTTCACAAGAGCTTTCCACCATCCTGTGGCAGGCTGTGCAGGCAGCTCGAAGTAGTATTTAGGATTGTTATGCGAAAAAGTAAAACGAGATTCAAATTTGACATAACGTGATTTCCTAGCGCCATTGAGCGCTGCCGCGTGCTGTGCTTTTTCTGTCGCCAAAGAACAGCTACTGGACCTATCCCGTTGTGACCCAGTACTCCATTTCCCTTCAGGATGTACGAAAGTGCGGCTCGTGGCTGTTTGTGGCCTCTTTCTCTGTAACATGCTCTGTACAGTAGGCATTTCATTCTGGATCCTGTCCGTGCTATCGCCACCACCTTTTCCTGCTCCATTTCTCATTTTAGCTCTCATCAACTTGTGCTTTGTCGCTTTCAGTGGAATGTGTCAAATGTTGGCTGTAGGTGTGTATATCACCACACGACTTCGATGGTCTTTCCACATTAAAGTTCGCTGTATGCAGCTCCTCGAGTATGAACAAACGCAGGGTGCTCTCCAATATGTTTGTTCAATAAAGAACAAGACACAAGAGGTGTAGCACTTGACAAAACAGCCAGCCCCGTGCACTGTACTGTGCTTTCTCTGCCAGAGAAGAGCTAACGTATATCCGCTGCGGTTGTAAATCATAAAATTCACGTAGCGTAGCAGGAAAAAATTTAGGAAACTAAAGTTGAGTGAGTGAGTGCTTGTTGGGCGTAGCGTGCTCCCAGCAGCAGAGCAAGAGAATGGGCAGGCTACTGAAGCGTTTTAGCTGCAATCTATTGCTGGAGTTTCTGCTCGGTAGTGGGCAGCAGATATGATGGCTCATACATTTTTTCATAGCATTATTCATATATGTGGGGGCATATTCATGGCCGTTTGTCGGGGGCAAAAGCCAAAGTGGCAGAAGGCAACGGCAAATGGAGGTCACTTCGAAGTGACCTGCTAGGACATGGTACCTTTGCAGCGACGCGTGACATTCAACGCAGTAAAAGGGACTTTCTCCACCTTTAAATCAAAAGTGCGCGTAAGAAGGTCTTTAGACGAGTCCTCGCAAGGTAAGGATCATTCCAACAGAAACTGGGGGCTTCTGGTTCCGTCGGCGGCTGCTTCTACCGCTAACACAAGTGACTGCTCAGCTTTGGTGGTTACTTTAGAGAATAACAATGCTCGAGCCTGCATGGACAGAGCGGGACAAGATGTAACTCCTCTGGAGCCTTTTTATGAAACTGTAAGATGTGGGGGATACGAAACCTGCTTTCTTGGTAAACAGCTGCTCGTGCCCCAATCGATTTTCCCTTGCTTTGCACTGCATTCACCTCTGATGTAGTGGTAGGTTTAACACATGTGCGTCGATTGCACCACTCACAAATTGAATTAGGGCTCTCCGTGGAACGCTGCAGGTTTTTGCACTTCTGGGATGAGTTTCTGTGAAATTCCAACAGAACATGAGACATGGCTTGCCAGGAGGGCCAAAGATTTGTTCTTTTTAGGTTAAAGCATCAATAATATAGCACGTGGAAACTTCAGTTCCGGTTGATTTGTTAGGATGACACGGACAGTAGCATCCGCTTTATCTGGTTCTGCAAAGCTACCCATACAATTATTTTGATTTTTCCCCACGTCCATGACAATTCGCCTATTGTGCCTCCCTTCTTCAGACCCCACTTTTTTTGGCTTGGTTTCCGTATGGCTGTGTGGCACCGTCCGTCCAGCTGAAGCTACTCACCTACTTTGTCGTGGCGTTGGTTCAAATTCACGACCTCGTGAAGCTCTTGCTCACAGTGCTTCCAAGTCTGCCTCCCGACAGCAAATCCCTCATTTTCGCGCTTGATGTAGAGCCAAAAGTGTTGAGCTCCTTTGGGGGACTGGTTTTCAGCATCCACTGTTCCCCACAGTACAGGTACTGCTTTCGCAGAGAGCACTGTAAACCTAAGACCTTTCGCCCGGTGACGTAGAACTATGCCTCTCCTGCAAAACAGACCAAAGGCTTCTTATTATAGGTTTCGCCCGCAGCTGCGAGAGATCCCATTAAGATGCTTTTCAGATTTCCAGGGAGAATGTACAATCAACTTGCATTCGCAGATCAGGAGTAGCAGGCGCGACAGCTTCGAATAGTTTTGTTTGACTGCCAGGCTGCAATTATATGCCAGTCTCGTCAGCTGTATTGTTGTGTCTGGTAATGAATTAAGCATCCAATGCAATGCGCCGTGCCCAGCGGACACGAATTTCGCTCCGCGTCACCATTCCGCCAGGTAAACCAAATTCTCTGACCTGGATGTAACCTTTTGTGTCAGCAATCCTGAGCGGTTCGATGCACCCAAGTGCGGCCCTAACTCGACAACTTCAAAACAATTGTCATAAAGTAGCATTAGCACTGAACAAAAACGGACGGTGGTGGGCCTTCGAAGATTCGGGAGTGCAACACGCTCAGATCTTCCTTAAAGGCGCTGCAGTGCCTTTATCTGATAACTACGTTGACAACTAAATGAAGTATGGCGCCGCATACGAATGGGTTGATCAGGCCACCACTCCTCATGCGGATCGCAAAGCCAATGCCTACATCAGGCCAACACCCTCCTGATCGCAGAGGCGCAAGGAGTAGCTCGGAACCGAAGAATGCCGATTGTGTTTCCCTCCAGATCGCACCTGGGCTGTCAATACGTGCAGCTCACATTCCAGCAGACGCTGAGGAATTAGTTAAACGCTTGCAGCCCCCCTCAGCACTGCACAATGGGGAAGCACAAAAAACACATCACCGAAAAGGGCGCTCTCTTTGTAAGTAATTGAGAAAGATTTTCTGCCTTTGTGTGCTTCGAGCACAGCACTGCAAAACAAACGGCAAAACAAGACTCTTGAGTCCAGGTCATGGAATCAAATGCGCTGCTCGCGTTGCCATTCGCTGCCATGCGCTGGAAACAGCTGCCTATGAAAACCAGGATCCACAGCTGCGCGCTTAGTTCTTAGAATTAAAATCCACAGCTTGCAAGGTACTATTTGCACTCATTGCAGTGGAACGCTCGTAATTTTAGGCGGTCTAAATCATGCTATTCGTGCGGTCACCTTTAGTAACTACCTCAGCAACAGGCGAAGACGAATGCATATGCCTGCCACAAAAAAATGTCGTGCAGCTGGAAAGTCAAAATCAGCGCATCCAGCGTAGAACCGCGCAGCCGGCAGTCCATAGCTGCTGCTTGACAGCCAATGGCCGAAAACTGTACACTGCCACTGGGTGGCAAATATAGCCTAAAAGCAAGGCATGTTTGCTTTCTATACTCAAGCAAAGTGGAACCCTGTTTCGCCAGGACAACTTTGAGTTGAAGGAACGGCAGATTTCATTTATGTGTAGCACTGTTACCACGCCCAGGTCACATCGCCCTTTGAAGAAAAGCACCTGCTTCATTGACGTCGAGCTGCTTTTTCTAATAATATGGTCCATAGCAACGCTAGCTAGCTACGTGGAACTGGGGAGGGCCTCCAACTGCGTCCTGTAAGGCACAGCATTAAAAGCTGTCCTTCGGTTGAATTCACCCAACGACGGGCCTGAAAGTGCGTGCACAGTGCAACACCGAAGCAATCCAGGTAAGGCCATGCAGCGAAATATCCCACTGAAACGGAAGCGTCCCACACATCAAAGCGAAGCAGAAGGCCCCTAGCCGCAAGACTACAACAATAACAAGGAGTGTGCGTTTACTTGAGGGAACAGCTGCCCATGCTCGTCCATCAGCGCCCTTGAGGCTTGTTGATCAAGCAGCCGGTGCTCCTGCTGCAGCATCGCAGCTTTTTGACAGCGTTCCCGGATCGCGAGTGCAGCGACAGCACGCTGTTGGTCGTCAATAAGCTGTCTCAACGTACGTGTGGGACGAGCTGCGCAGACTGCACTTGGCAAAAGGTGGCCGCTATTTCCCACTCTGGAGCCATGAGCACGTCGTAAGCAGACACATGAGCGGTATTCAAAGTCAATACGGCTACTCGGACTCCATGTGTAGCTGCTATGGCCTTCGTCTAAAGCGACCCGTGTTGCATTGCAATCTTCTGTACAAGGCTCCTGTGGCGACACAGTGCGCGCGTAAGGAAGTCTCATAACGAACGATAGCGTTCGGCAGACAGTAAGACAGGCGGAAATCGACAGACGAAGCAGCACAGCCAGCAAAGGAATCCTCTGCTGCTCCCCGAGCGCAGCAGGGGCATATGTTTGATTCCAATGAGTGTAGCTCGTTTTGAAGGAATTAATGTCATCTGGAGCTTTTTGCACAGGCGCCTGATTGACCCTTGCGTGGTGCTTCATATCGCTGAATCCGAATGCCAAAACAGCCGTTGGTGTTCCTAAATCCACTGCGGTCGCAGTGGCAGCAAACAGCTGCAGCAACCTCCGCCAACGAGGAGGACGAGGAGAGGCACAAAAGGGTGCGTTTGCATTTATCAGATATGCAAGTCTCTCCAACCGTGGTATGCCACACGCCCGGCCTTCGTCAGTAGCCGGGAAGGACGTCACGTGGTTCGACAGTTCCCCCAAAACGAGAAGTCGACCGCCTAGGCCTTCAACAACCTAAAAGGCAATGAATGAGCAACAGAAAATTGACGAAATGAGAAGTTCTACTGTGCACTGTTACGGAGCACTCGCTCTCACTGTGGCACAAATGATTGCATGCTCCAGTAAAACTTTCATACGCTGTTTTCATGTCACACTCACCAGGACACGCTTGCTGTCCCTTCCACAGAACACAAGTCTGCATAACGCTTTCTGCAATTTAACACAAGGAACACATGAAGAGTTGTTGTGTGGTGCCGAAGACGACGGCGAAAGTCTAAACGCTCAATCATGAGAAGTGGTCTACCGAGGAACAGGACAACTTCGAGATCCTTTTTAGCAGCTAAGTAGTAAATTTTGGGGCCTACGTGACTGCTGTCAATTCTGAAGACCTCTGATGGCTCAGCCCATCCTAAACTGTGGTGGCCGGCAACCTCGCCGTCACACTTGAAGAGCGGTCTCTGGGATGCCTTGAAAGTAACAAGCAGCAGTTGTGTAGGCCGCCTGTGCACCCCGAGTCGTTTTGCCCCTGGTAGTAAAGTGGGCGCATCCAGTACTTTAGCAGAGTCCAGTGTAGCCACTGCTGCTGGCTTAGTCCCGCGAGAGCTCGAGGCGTTGAGTGCTAATTGCTGTTCCGGGCCAGATTCCGGCATGACAGCAAGAAGCATTACATAGCGGGATCGAGGTACTTTGAGCCATTTGCTGATCTTAGTAAGCCAATCAGCAAAAAGGCACTGAACAACACAGCCATCACTACTCAGGGGGATCAAACGGGCTTCTGTTCTCGGAAGTGCACATTGGGTTGTTGAATCTATGCTCGAGAGAGCAACTGGCCCCATCAGGAGCAGCTGTAGTACTGCTGCATGCAGGTGCCCAGGTAGCGCTGCGGCGGATCTAAAGCCAAGAAGCTCGAGTACCTAAAGCAAGTGGCAGCGCAAAAAAGGGTCCAGGGTGGTTTGAGGAGAAGAAAATTACATATTTCGAAGAATGCCTGCAGGACTTCTTGAGTGGTAAGCGTTGCACTTCGGTGTAAAGGCCGCGATTTTCTAAGCTATGTGAAAGGTCGCTCACAGTCGCTAATGCATGAAACTGCAAAATTTATTGCCCCACCATTTTAGCCTTCCGATTGACGCTGAAGCATCTTGAGAAAAACTCCGGTACTGCCATACTTCCGTCTTCAGAGGCCGTCTTCTTCATAAGTGAGTCGGGTACTCATGAAATTAATGGAGTTTTGGGACCCATAGCTTTGCCTGTTCCGGTGCTCCCTTCGCAACTGACAGTAAGGGGACAGTGCACCGCTCTGCTTTGATACTCATGTGAATTCCCCACGCGACCAGGGAAGCGCAGCAACGATGTCGCAGTGAGAAGCGATGGCGGAAGGCACTCCTTCAGAGTTACCAGATCGCTGGATAAGAAGCTTCTGCTAGGTCGATATTCTTGGTCTTTAGCAAATTAGGAAACGCTGCCAGAAAAAAAATGCAATGTTTCTTTGCACGAAGATAAAAGTATGCTTCAGGTGAGTGGTCCGGAGATTCACTGTTTGTAGTTGCTCGGCGTGCAGTGCACCACGCAGCTCTCGGCATCGGTACAGAATTGTCGACAACAGCAAACTGGCAAAGGTAATCAAGCCAACCATCCAAAACTTTATCAGAAAGCAGCCTTCATCGTCTGCTAGGATATCAGAGTACAGACCAATCCTGGGGCTGTTGGGGTCGGTGTTATGCATAGAGTTCTGCTGCCGGCTGAAGCGGTGTCCTGCAACCAGTAACGCTAAAACTTCATATTTCGGATTCAGCCATTATATGAGTGTTCTCAAGACTTCTTGGGCGAAGCTGCGGCAGGCTTTCCTAGGTGCTTCAGCCGACCTTTTGGAGAGAGGTATGGGCCTGTCGGCAGGCTTCATTTATGTGCTAAGAGCAAGCCCGTGCACCAGTAGGTCGAAGTATATGTCACACTTGATCGTCCCCAAGATGGACGGAAAACTATGACAAGAGCGAAGATATTACCTGCAGAACAAAGCTAGCCAAGAGCGTTCGCAGCAAAGATAACAGGATCCACGTACCTGCGTGTCGTCAGTGACGCGCTCTGGTAGACTTCCCTTGGTTTTAAGAGAATACCGGTTCGTCGAACTGTTTGATTGTCTAAAAACATTGTTTTCTGTAGAAAGCACTGTGAGAAGGCGGCTTTTTAACGAACTCATGCCGTCTTCAGGCTTTGAAACCGGATTGTGTCTGAGCTGCAGCCCTTCTATGTTCACTGGCCAAGAAAAGAATTTCGGCTTTTGCCTCGACAACAGTACACGAACAGACAATGAAGGCAGCATGAGAAAGTGTCACTCTTTTGACATCAAATCTCTCATTTCTCTCTAGAACCCTTGAGTAAAGCAACTAAGCCGAAAGCGCAGACGTGACAGACTTGTGTGTTGTTGGACTCTGCAACAGCACAAGCAGCAAATCCAGCACAGGTCAAGCCTTGCACAAATACATATATAGATGAGTCATGCAGATACTCGTCGGAGTCTAGTTTGGCCTATTCTTAAGCAGCAAGCATTGAGTGTTCTTTCCCAATATGCAAGCCAGGTTCCCACAATGGAGCAACTCCACTTTACTTTCGTGGTACTTTGTCATAAGGGCTCGAACTGCTCAGACAGAGCTATGCTCATCCCATCTAGTTTGCCCTTACGTCTCTCAGTCTTATATTGACTTCACTTCAGCTTATATTCTGAGGGCTAGCTATGCCACTTTGCAACCTGAAAACTTGCAGTGACTGCTCAGCATCGCTGAAGAGCTACGAGAGATCTGCGCTCATTTCAAAAATTTTGACTTTGCAAATTCAGGGTGTGGAAGCTGGCAACTAGTGCACTTCACAGGTCTTGAAATTCATGGGCTTATCATCTCGCAATTTACAAGAATCTTCAAGTCCAAGCGGCTTTGTCGTTCTCCTACAGTTTGGTGGCTGCCCTGCTGAACACGGAAGCTCCCATTCCCTGATTCATGACATCGACTCACCCAACGAAGTCCTGCTATCCAAGGGCTTTACATTTTTGTAGGGGTTCGTTCTTGCTGACAATCTGCGTTTTGCACAACGCCCACTCAGCGGAGTATTTAAACGTTCTGATTTGCTTCTGTCTGCCGTACTGCCGGAAATAGAGGCGTTGGTACGATGCTGCTTTTAGCGTTTCTCCCTGTCCTCTTCGTTGCTCTCATTCATCCTTGAGGATCATGTATTTGTTAAGAAGTTGTGGATTCGCCAGCTGCACACAACGGCGTTCGTTCTCTCGCAGTAATGCTGGAAGGGACTAAACTGGGGAGTTGGCGCTTGTCAGTTTGCAGCGCAGTGCTCCAGTGTGCCCCAAGGCACCTTGAATAATTCCTGTTCCTTCGTTAGATTTGCTGTCAACTGAAAGACCAACCTACCGGGACTTATATTTAAGATGAATTTTACGCAAAGGAGCGTGCTAGCTGTGCTGTTACGTGTAGTACCACATGCATTACGATCAATTTGAGGGTGGCAGCATGTAGGACAGTGTTCACGCAACATACAATATGAAATTGAGCCTGTTTTGTTCTAATTCGAGCTGTATTGTGCCTTTTGTAAGGGTTGAAGTCAATGGCTACCCCTGAGTGTTGAGTAAAGAGCTAAAATGAGGTGAAATTTTGCCGCCCGTGAAGGCCTTCATCATTAAAAGGCTGCTCTTCCTCATTTACTGGCTCGCATTTTTACATAATAAGACCTGACAGACGTTAAGGCTTGCTTTTGGAGCACGAGCAAGTACCTTTTGTTTCTTTGCCTCCCAGCAAAACTATCGGTAGAGGTGAAGTACCAGTTGATAAATATATTTTAGACATACACAAGCCTATATCCTGAAGGCAGATTTGGCGTGTTCTAATGGCAAGAGGGATCATTTGCTGCAGTTCTTCTCGGAAATTTTGCTATTAGGGATTCCTGCAAAGTTGAAGTCCAATTTTCCCGGCGTAGTGACAAAAGGACGGTAACAGATACTGCACATGAACATTCGGCAATAGGCTCAGGCGGGAAGCTATCAAAATCACAGTTGCTTATGCCATCAGTCTTGAACAGCGAGAAAGCTCTTGCTCGCAGCAACGTGTAACATACGAGCCGCAACACTTTAGCTTGCATCTAATGAGAGCTGCAAGAAGTGGTTTCAGTAGTAAGCCACCTGCCAGGCAGTCCACGCTAGTGAAGCTTACTTTGTGGATGCTGCTCACGTCGATCAAAAAAGTATGCAGTGTATCCCTGTGCCATCCTGCCAAATACGGGGCTGCTGCGTTCAACTCGTGCGAGTCCTCGACGTCCGGAGACTCGAAATATGGGGGACGGCATACGGGTTCGGTACGTAGCAACGTACCGCATTGACAGTGAAAATTCACTGCTGCGTAGAAAGCACGCAATAACTCGAAGGAGTTTCCCCAGAGCATGCATGCACGAAGTAGGTAAATTCCTGTTGCGGATCATTCACGCCAACTTGATCGATTTCTGTGCAGTGCCTCCACTCACTTTAGAAGCCTGCACTTTCGAGTATAGGTAAGGACTACGAGCACTGCGAAAAGGCTTTTGCGAAGGAGAAGAGAGTGTTTTGAGAAAGAGCTGCCAAGCTAATTCGACACAATGTGGACCACCTTTCGCGTTCTCTGCCTCTGCGCTGTAGTGGGAAGTTTGAAAGTTCGGTGCATCATGAATAATTGCGATCATCTCTCCAAAAATGCCATAGGCTGTTATTGTATTGACTCTTTTTGCCTAGCCTGTGGAGGATGTACCGCTTCAGGCAAATTATTTCTGCAGGATCCGGGCGCCTTCCTCGCTTATAGATGGAAAGTGCTTCAGTTAGACGGCCGACCCAGTGAAGTAGTTCAGTTGTTTCTCTCCTGCTGCGGGCCTTTCGGCGAACTTGATATTCTGTTTCAAACTGTTGAGTAAATTTGTCCCACCAGGCACCGGTGTTCATTTTTCTTTCCCCTAACACTTCGATTGCGGAGACCAGCATATCAAATATCATAAATAGTGATCCCAGCCTCCTAGCAATCTGAAATGGTTTTGGCTTCAGATTTTTCGTTGCAAACTTGTGTGATGCGTAGGCGATTAGGTTTTCACACTCCTCCATGAGGAGTTTCACATCGTCGGCATTCAGTGATTCTTTAGCATACAGCGCCCGAATATTCGAGTAAATTGCCACTGGGCTAGACTTAAACGTGGTCATTCTTAGTGCAGCCTCTCCGCGGAAACTAGATTTGACATCCTGCGGAAATACCTTTGGTAGCCGCACATACGGATGACGATTAGGGTCCTTCACTTGTTCATATTCGTCATCTTCGTCGGTACTTTCCTCTGAGCCTGCAGCGCATCCAGAAGGTTCAACGGGAAGATCAATTATTACAAAAGCTCCTTCAGCATTTCGTGTAAGTTCTCCTCTTGAATGACTGGCGTTCCTGCTTGCCGCGCCGCTTCACAAAGGCGCACTTTTGTCCATGTGCCCAGATATTTTATTACAGTGTACGTCTATGGCGTCGGTGAAAACATGTCTACTGTATTTGACGACGTACCTTCTGGGGATCTTGGCTGTTCACCTGTTGAAGCTGAAGGGGCTTCCTGTCTCGCAGGCATGTCTTGCCGGACGATAGGGGCATACTTGTCTAAGAGACTGCTTACCCACGCATCAGATTGCTCCCTGAAGTTCGTCACGTTTGAACTGCTTACACAAGATGGCACGTCCGCTTTCAAGCTTGCCAACGATTCGCGAGAGGTAGATGGCTCTGAAAAGTCTAGTGCAGCTCCAACATCCCCTTGCCCGTACGTATGCCGTTCATTTGCATCTCGAGACATGATTTCCTCGGGGCAGTGCTCTCGCATACCCATGTTGAAGTTGAAATCAGTCCTGGTTGTATACCCAACTGACGATGGTGAGAAAACTGCAGCAGGCCCGTGCTCTAAAGAGCCATAACTGCAACCAGCATAGTTTCCAGTAACAAAAGAAGGATTGGGGAGGCTGTGTCCTTCAAAATGAACAGCATGGGGAGGTTTGAATATCCCAGCTGTGTAAGTTTGGCGCAGCTCTGCCCTTTGCTCGGAGGGTATGCTGAAAGCAAGCGGCATCGATAGCATTGGTGCTTCCTTCATAGCTGAAGTTTCCTTAATTTCAAATGTACTTTGGGCGCTTTTGTCTGCCTCTCCGCTTGATATCTTTGAAGCCCGCTCTCGCGAGCGTGTAAAAGCTTCTGCAGATTCGTGCAGCATCATTGCCAGCCTAGCCTTATTATTTGCAGGCTCCCCACTCATGCTAGGGGCATACGTTAGGATGCCTAAATCCTCTTCCATTTCTACGCATTGGTCTAATAAAGCTGACAGCTCCGCGTTATCTACCTCTGCGAGGCTCCGCTGCACCGGCCCTGAAGAGTTACGCATCGTTTGGGATCCCTTACATAGAGCAAGCCATGTTAAAATAACCACGACAGAAATAACGGATGCGAGGGTAGCAGGAAAATGTAAACAGTCGCCAGGTCGCCGTTGTCGTAGCCTGCGCTGGAGCCTGCCAAGGAGCTGCCCATCATCTTGTGCAACAATGTAGTTATCAGCGTCCTGCGTGTTGCCTGCAAAAGGGGACAGCGAGGAATCTACTGCTCCATTTATGTCCTCCACTACCGGTAGGTATGTTTCGTCTTTCGCAGGAAGTGGCATCTCTGCAACCCCCTTTCCAGCTGTGCCCGGAGTCGTACGCGCTGCTCTCAGGACGCTGAGTGAAGGGGCGACCCTCTGTGGAATACTGACGCAGGGTGCTTGTTTGCCATAAGAAGTAGCGTGCATGACTGAAATGGCTAGTCTTTGCCAATTTATCTCAGGAGGCAAGATGCATGAATAGGCGGCGCTACGCCAGAAGTTCTAACTTTTGTATTATGTGACACTTTCCTCCATATTCCATAAAAAACGCAGAACTGTGCTATTCCAAACAGGAATAATTCATCAGCAATAGCAAGAGACCCGCAGGATGGCAATGTCTGCAAAGCATGCTGCCTGTCCACTTGCCCCCCCCAACACCAGCAACCTTGTGGGTCAGTTGCTCATCGCAGGAGCTTAAAACTTAACTAGCGTCCAAGATCATGACTTAGAGCAGTCTCTTCGGCAGTGTTTAGTTATAGCAAGACAATACAAACACGCTCTAGGAGCTACAAACCAAATCCAAGGCGAACCTGGACGCAGCAGCAGCTAGGTGAGTCCCGCAGTTCACCACTTGTCTGCAGTAGACGAAATCCAGCTACACTTGACGCAATTCGCAGCATCGTTTCTTTCGCTTTTATGTGTCAAAATGCACTCCAGAAGGTCTGCGTTTATTGTCTGCTCTACGCGGGAGGCATGCACCGTCGACACTCTATTCATGCGTTGTTATCGGGGGCTGCCTTGACCAATAAATCTAGATAAAGAGTGGCAAAATACTTGCTCTTATGGGAATACTAATCCAATACAGCTTCAGAGCGGAGGCTCAGTTGGAATATCCCCTCAGCACAGCAGAGGAATACGTTTGGGCAGTGCTGCCTCTACACGGCATTTCACGGCGCTCCTTCGGCTCGTCGTTCCTGTGTTCCTAGCGCATTAACCCCACTGGATATATTTAGCAGCAAGCTAGACCACCAGGAGAACTTAAGCTCACCGTTCCCCTCGACGGGGTGTCACCGCATGGAGTCCATGCGCCGTCAGCAGTAGGCCGAACACTGAGAGCTGTCAAGGAGCTGGCCTTGAAACTCCCAGATCTGTGTAACGTAACATTTTATGGGCAAACTTGACCAACATGAGGGATAAATCTGCTGAGTGAGGGATGGAAACAAAACTTTTGATGCAACGGTGATACCGACGCGAGAACGTCAGTGCGTGCTGAGTTGAGACCATAGCAGCTGTCATGACCACACACACTGAAACGCCTCATACGCTTTACCCGTTTACAGAAATATTGGTTTAATTCCATTCAAAGTGATATCTCACGATCAATTTCATGTTCTTCTCCAGACTGCACACTGTTGCCCAAACCAGCCAGAACCCGTGTCCTGCGGGACATGTAGCTGTAATCCCCAGGATTGTAAAACTGTGCTGCAACACTAGTGGAAACAAAGTAGAGTGTTCCGTATCCTTATAGTATATGTGTCTTTGCATGCAGCCATAATGCATCGAAAACTTGTAGCTCATTGACTTGAGTAACACACGAAGAGCCGATGCCGCGCCGTTACGCTTCAAACCCTGCAAAGCTTTCCATTTTCTCCTAAGCGATATGTGAAGATGGTTGCTTGAAACGCTCACTTGCTTCCGTTATTGAAGTGGTTGCGGAGGCTGCTCGCGGCAGCGCGTTCCTCCGATGAGCTGCATCTGGGATCAGCTATGAACATTCATTATGCTGTATGCTGCTTGTCTTTGGTGCACCAGACCATTGCAGTCTATGTCCGTGTCGAGGTTTAAAGAATTCATGTGTGGAGAGAAAGCTCTTGTGGGTAACGCCAGATTCTCTAATCACGGCATCAGGATACCAGTCGGTTTCCTGTCAAATCCATAAATCCATTCCACGCAAAACTGCCTACACGAGCTGGGCAGCCCAAGGGTACATCACCGTTCCATGAACTGTTTGCCTGCACAGCCCTTTTAGAAAATGAGAGGCATCGGACTGTGATCATCAAGCCGTTACCCACTTACTCAAGCTCAAAGTGCCCAAGCCTGTTCATCGACGTACGGCTCGATGGCTCGACTTTCTTGCGGAGTTCCCAGAACTTACTCTCACTTACTTGCAGGGAGAGCGAAACCAGGTGGCAGACGTGCTGTTGCGCCTGCCTCGTTCTCCCATTTCGCACCATCTCAGTCAGCCCAAGGCACCCAGCAGCCCCTTACTGGAACCAGTTGTGCCAGTAGCCGAACCTGGAGGCCAGGCCCACGACGCTTGAAGGGAGCTGGCCAGCTATCTGGGGTTGGCTGGCCTTCGTTCGCGAACGCCTAGACAACTCCACCATTCGCCTCTACTACCACTGTAGTACACTGCGTTCTCTGCAGCGTCTACGATGCTGCACAGGCCACAACTCGGGCGTTCTACGAAATATTCTCTTTTACCGACACATCGGTCGCGTAACGTCTACAAATGTATTAAAAAGATCGTTTTGTTTCAAGTTCTGAAAAACATAGCTCATAAAAGTCGTTTCTTCTCGTTCGTGCTTTGCTGGTCCGGTGAGGATGTGACGCTCACCGGTGCCGGCGTTGTCGGCAGCCCCAATCTTAGGGCACTCGCAGGCATTTCTCGTTCATACATGTTTATCCGTTAATAAATTGCATTTCTATTTCACTAGTAAGAGGTTACAGCGCTCAATCCGCGTCTCAGCCCCTTAACCGTCTATAGGTCATCAGTTAGCTATTGTAGTGCCTCAGCACTACAATGGGGCTGGCTACTGTCCTAGAGATGATAGCTAGCTAACGACCTGCAAGGGGCCGCGACACTGGAGGGGGACAGGACCCTCCCAATACATGAAAAAATAAGAAAAACCGTTAGTCAGTTCTAGTGAACATGTGAATTGTGCGGAATTCGTGTGGAGACTGGGGCTGGCGATAGCGCCGGCACCACTGCGGACCTTCCCCCCTAGGGTCTAGGGGGTAAGCTCCGAGAAGCGAGCGAATCGAAGAGAGAGATTGGGGACACTTTTTGAATTGTCGTATTTCGACGGAATAAAGCTATAGAGACCGAGAAATGGGGCAAATCTAGGTGTAGTATGTAGACCTGTAGAGGGACAGGAAACAGCGTAGTCGCAGCAGTAGGCGCAGCGCACTACATTTGGGGGCTGTTCCGGGAAGGAAATCTTTATTCTTTCCGGACTTGGGAGTATAATTACCTTGTTTTAATGCCATGCACCTAGAAATCTTTGCTCGGTAAGGGATGCACCTCCGCAACGGACGCGTCATCGGTCCCACACCACAGGAGACTCCTACAATGTCGGTCAACAAGTTGCCGAGCGGGACACCAGCCCATCATCGCCACGCGACTCCGAAACCCACCGTGGCAGAGCGGTCGCATGGGCATAAGGAGGCGCCCCCGCAGGAGACACCTCTGCCCAACGTTACGCCAGGGGACAGTCCCATCGTCACCTGGAACCAATTCCAGTCTGCAATGAGTGTGATTAGAACTGTAATAGGGGGAGCCGGAGCATCCGGCGCAACGACTCTTATACTACCTGAAGACGGCAGCACTATGAAGGCCTTTCTGAAGCGCATCGAGCGCCGGCATGCCCAAATGGGATTGGAACCGCGCGAGTGGGGAGATACACTCATAGACCACCTTGTGGGCCCGGCTCTAACTTATTTGATGTATCTACAGGAAACTATCGGCTAAGTGACTGGGCAACAGTACGGCGCAGGCTTTTGGAGCGGT